GGACGGGGGGCAGCGCGGGGGGGGTGACGGGGCAGTGTGGGGGTTACGGGACGGGGGGGCAGCGGGGGGGGTGACGGGGCAGTGTGGGGGTGACGGGACGGGGGGGCAGCGCGGGGTCCCCTCCCACTCACCCAGCCCGGAGAGCAGGGCTGCCAGCAGCGCCAGGCGCAGCCCCCGCCCCATGCTGCGGGCGGCTTGCGCTCCCCGCGGCGGGCGAGTAACGGCCCCGCCCGAGGGGGCCCGAGCGCGAGGCTGACCCCGCCCCCCGGGGCACGCGGCCGGGGCTCCGGCTCCCTGGGGCGCAGCGCCGGAGCAGCCCTGATCTCAGCCCGGCCCGAGAGCAGAAGGTGCGGGACTGGGGAGCCCCCCAGAGGCATGACAACGCGAGGCAGCGGTTTTACAAAACTGGCATCTTTAATTATTACTTTTAAAAAACAAACAAAAACCACATAGAATGGAAGCCCCTTCAGTATAGCCCAGCCCTTAGAAAAGTGGCATTTGTATTTTCTGTAAATCCTCCTACAAAAAACAAGGTCCAAGCTGCGACACAATTTGGAGTGCAAAGGTTTAGACAAGTACAATTTACAAATAAGTCTAAGACAGGTTCTGATTGTTCAAATAGTATTCAGACAATAGGGCTAAGTGTTAGACTTACACATGAAATCAGTAGTCATCTTCAATATTCACCATGTATTTAAAATTTGAGGCGCTACTTTATTCCATAGAAATAGTGATCTCAGAATGACGTTTATTGCATTACTGCCCTATTCTGCACATAATATTGCTAATTGCTATAATACCATTGCTAATAGTATGCTGGGAGTGTGAAAACTCTATTAATATTAAAGGCACACAATTTAGCACAGTTATAGCATAGGCATTCACAAGTTTAAATACAATTAAGCAGGCCTTTTCCTGGGGATAGTTTCATAATTCAGATTCCCCTCCCACCCTGTACACGGAGTCATTCATGTCATGAACTGTCTACAAGAGACCTGGGAAAAAGTGCACCTTATTGACAGAAAGGCTGAATAGCTTTAGCTAGGCAACCCCCGATAAGGTAGGAGAGAAATAAACCAATGATAATCCTAAAAACAAACAACCCACCTTGCGATATATTTTTGATGAAGTTGTACATATTTTAATAGAGTTTAAATCTTATTCTTTACGTTTATGGAGAACCACAGTAGTTCAAGTATTTTATTATTACAAATGCAAACTTTATATATATTTATATAAGTATATATACACACAGATTTTTTGGCAAATATGGGGAAATTTACAAAACAAGTTTGTGCTAAGTGGCTAAGACAAAATGAGAAAGCTTAGCATTATTTTGAACAGTAATTGTTTCACCTTCTGTAATTTGTGTAACAGACACACCATCGTGGCAGTCATGCATCTACAACACTGTGTCAATATAATCTAGTGGAACATAATCCAATAATCCAACTTCACCTTGGTTCACATACCTCAACTGACATCCAAGAGCATCTTTTTTCAGGCACAGATTTAAATCGGATTTTAAAAATAACATGCTTTAGCCAGTGTCAACATCCTGACTGACACTAAAATCAAAGTTTGAAAGGTAGGTTAAAATTATTTACATTGGGGTCAGCGAGGTGCTAGGGTATAAAGTGCTCAAAAAATTCTCAAAGGGCCTAGATAAACAATACGCATAATTCCTCTTAATATTTTGCAGTGTCTCTTGCTGTCAGACTGTAACGTAATCAAAACTCAAGCTCACTCCCTTCCTAAAACAAGAAAAGGCTACCATTTTTCGTACCTTTATTTTAATATCCCATTTAACGTATTAGTGGTAAATTAGTAGAGGTTTCTGGTCTAGCTACTTAAAATTGCTTATTTAAAAACCATTTAAATTAACCGCCCTAGTATCCTTTATTGTCTATAGCTTAGTGTCAGTCAGCATGAAGTTAAAATTTTCTTTGTTGTTTAAAAAGTGTGTTTATATTAAACACACCAGTAAAAACATATACCCAAACATGTTTATAGGATATTTCATCTTCCTTTCAAAATATACTGGCATCTTATTTCACTTGTGCCCTTAGTTGTATATACAGGAATAATGGTTTCTAGTCCAGGCAAAACAAGAACATGTAAACAATATTTTTGTTAAATCAAGTGGCCTGATTTTTACAATTCCATTTTTTAACACCTGCCCAGGTAATAGTTTTTTTACTCTTCATTGTACATATAGAAAGACAATAAGCCACATGGAATATTTTATGATTGTGTCTCATCATAAGATGTGGGAAACAAAAAGTAACTCCCAAGTGCTGTATTTTAGATTATTTTACTGCAGACTGAACCACTTCCAACTGGATAGTCCAACTTCAGTTTGCAAAGCCATGATACTCATACACGGAGCTAAGAACAGACTTGATGTATTCCGTTCCTGTAGCTTTGGTATAGGTATCTTTGTTTAATATCTTACATTCCTTGTGTTTCCATCTCATTTTCCATATCCAGTACTGCAGAAAGGCGGCTCTCTGGGATATCATGGGCCATTTGATGCAAGAAGGATAAAGAATTTCAGCTCGGTTTTAGTGAACAGGTCAGTTTGTGAAAGGGTAAAAGAGAAACTAAAAACTACATGGGAGGTAAAGGTGCAGGTCGAGAAGGAAAATAGTGTCCCTGAGGTACGTTCTTCTGTTGTGGTGGAGGTGGCCTGTAAGGAGGACAAAGATGTCAGTTTAGGTTATTACATCCATTATATGCATATAGAGAATGCTCCCTCTTTCTCCTGCTCTGTCTTAGGCTAGGTCTACACTACCCGCCTGAATCGGCGGGTAGAAATCGACCTCTCGGGGATCGATTTATCGCGTCCCGTCGGGACGCGACAATCGATCCCCGAATCGATGCTCTTACTCCACCAGCGGAGGTGGGAGTAAGCGCCGTCGACAGAAAGCCGCAGAAGTCGATTTTGCCACCGTCCTCACAGCGGGGTAAGTCGGCTGCGATACGTCGAATTCAGCTACGCTATTCACGTAGCTGAATTTGCGTATCTTAAATCGACTCCCCCCTGTAGTGTAGATGTACCCTTAGAGTCATGTCTTTGATGGTCTCTCCCAATGCATTCCTTCCCATAATTTCAGCTGCCACCTCTGCACTAATGACTCCCATCTAACGCTCTCTCTCTGCACAGGCTTTTTTTTTCTATACTATATGAAACTTCTAACATTTTCCGAGTCACACTGCTTTCCCTAATTAGGCATTTTGGAGTGAATTTTTCCTCTACCCAAACCAATTTAAAACACAAATTACTACAGAGTACAAACTATTATATATAAGTGTCTGTTTGTGCTTCATTAATTAGCACCTTAAGGACACAGGCATCAATACAACATTTTGTGCATTTAAATAAATGGTTAAACTAAAAAGGTTGTATATTTATGATATATATTTTTAGAGTGAAACTAAATAGAAAGATAAAACTGGATGCTCAAAGCTGATAGAAAGCACCCACACTTTTCGTAATAATGTACCTACCATTAAGAGTGTAAGAGGTGTCATCAGAGAACATACATGTTTTATAAATTTCATTGCACCCCTTTTTTTATTATGGCCCTTTCACTCACATGTGTAGCTTCATTATTTGGTGTATACATGATATGAGAAAAACCCTGACACATGATCACAAAGAGAGGGTTAGAGTCAGAATGACAAGCTACGAGTGTCCCCAAATTGTGTGCTCAAGTTCTCAACTTTACATTTGCACTAGTATGTATTATAAAGGAGTTTTCCCAGTAGCAAAATTGTCATTACTGACCTTGTAGGTATCTTATACTGCTGCTGCTCCTGGTGTGGCTGAGGATAATTGTAAGGCTGGTGATAAGCTGGTTGATTATGATTAACTGCATAAGGTGGCACAGTGAATTTGTTTGCTGGCATGTCCTATGAGGAAATAAAGAACATCAGATATTCAAAAAGAAAGAAAAAAAATCACACAAACAGGAACTGGAGGAAGATTTGCTTCTTTAGTAATTTCACTGGAATGTAGGGCCACTCACTAGCAGATTTGGAGATGTCACATTGTCCCTGATCAGCACCCTTCCCTTTTCAAACTACAATACTTTCTAGACTGCTTATGGTTTCAGAGAATGCACTTCCAGTTGGCTCTCAAAGATAGTTTAAGCAACATAAACCACAAGAGTCCCATTCCCCCTCCCTTAAATTTAACTACTAAGAAGTTAAGAAAATAATCCATTTCCTCACTGGCAACACCCCTTTCTACTACAGATCGTAAATTACTACATTCAATATGTAGTTGGCCTATCTATTGGTGTTACAAAATGGCAAATCCTGATGTGCTTTAGAAGGTTGCTGCTTGAGAAATGTTTAATGGATAAAACTAAATCATCTAATCCTAGGCCTTCCCACCGTCCAAAAAAACTTTTACTTTGTTTAAAATAAAAGCCTCCTGATTAAAATAATCTCATTTCCTAGCAACAGTCTGATGTGGTATGTAACAAAAAGGGGGAAACACTACTATATTTTGATTTAAGACTTTGTAGTCACCTTTAATAGTTTGGCACAATTACTTGTAGAAGTGCATTATAGGTCAGTAGAAAAATCTAGACAAGGTGTTAGTATGTACCATCTATATTTTAAAGCACATTTTATATATAGATCTTAAAAATGTAATGAGATTGCAATCTCTCAGTTGTGCTTCCAAGCTGGTATTTTTACTGTAGCTTTGCAATATCAATAATGCACTATACTTGGAATTACTTAGATATTTTCTTCTTTGAAAACTTTTGGGCTTCAGAGGATATCTTCCTCATTAATATTATTGGTTGTTTATACAGCCCCATAAGGAGTACAGACAAATAAGAAAGGGATTCATCATAGCCTATATATAATTTATAGGCCATTACTGTAAAAATTTACGTCCTACAGAAAGCATAGTCATTAGTATTTCTTACAGTGTATACATTACATGTGAGGGGAGGGAAGACCTGAGATACGAGATTATATTGCTTTAAAAAGCAAAAACAAAAAACCCACCAACCAAAAATAGGTATTAATAGTTTTGGAGTAATTCTTGCTTTTATTATCCATTTATCAATTCAACCCTCTACCCACTCTGTTACTTTCAAAACGGACAATAATTGCTCTCAAAGACCGAGAAAAAACAAGTCTCACCTACCATGGGTACGCTCCTCGAAGTATATGGCATGTTCTGCTGAAAGTTTCCTGGGTCTGTCTCTGTGCGAGGAGGAGGAGTTGGCACGCTTGTATGTGATCTGGAATTAGATTTGTATTGGCCACATGGAGTGGTCAACCATCTTACTATAATTCAATAGGATCATCATCAACATGTTATGACACTTCTTATAGATACATACTGGCTGAATTTAAGTCTGTGTTTAAGAACTATTATTTTACTCCCTAAATTCGTCAGTAAAATGTATGTCACTCTTTACAGGTGCTTATGTCCAGACATACTGTGAGCCTCTCTCTTCCAAGGAATAGATAATGTCCCTTTGTCCCAAAGAATGTGCCCAGAAAACAGAAACAGACAACATCAAATGACACTAAAAGGAATGGCCTGAGGTCCATTGATATCAGGTCACTTGCCTCCTGTACTGCAACTGCATGGAATAAACCTGCCTGATCTCCACTCGTGGGGATCTCAGGTTTACATCTCAGGACTACTGACAATCAATTCTTTGGAATCATCTTCTGTAGAGGAGTCTGTGGTCAGTTTATGAAGTATCAGCAAAAGGGGTGGGGGTGGGAAATCTACTTACCGATGACAATGTGATATCGTTCTCCTGAACCATTGCTTCAGCGCCTTTCTCTTTGCAAATGCCACAGCAGCAGCTAAAAGGAGTGGAAGGACCAGGAAAAAGAATACCAGCAACCCATCTCTCAAGGAGGTGTCTTTGTCTGGTAGGGAGAGGGTGAGAAAGAAAAGCAGACAGAATTAGTTTTCATAGTACCACCACTACTAAGCACTGCAATAGCGCTGGGTTTTGATAGGACTGATTCTACAATTTTCCTCCATTCTGTAGAAAAGAAAAGCTAAAGTTGAGTGTAATTGCCAGGTGCATGCCAAATGTATTACTTTTTGGTGGTCATTTCAAAAGGGACAATATGTCAAAGAAGAGTAAAACGTATGTTCTCCAGTATCCCTGTGCTATAATAGTATAGCACAGTAATATAGTAGTAATAGACTCTCTTCGATGTATCATCCTGAAGGGCCTGTCACCAGCTCAAGTTAAACAGGGCCGAAACAGAGCTCCCCTCTTCCCCCACTCCCCTCAAATCCTCTTCACATCCTTCCTTCTTGATTGCTGTGGGAAAGACCACTATCCTCCCTTAGCTCAGGTTCACAACCTTAGAGTCATTCTCCCGTTCTCCATTCATCCAGGCTGTCCCCAAGGCTTGTGGCATCTTTCTCCACAACATAGTGTATGAAAAGTAATAGAATCATAGAAATGTGGGGCTCAAAGGGATCTCAAGGACGTCACTAGTCCATCCCTCCACACGGAGCCTTTATGCCCCTTCCTTTCTCTCCTGATAGTTCAGACACTTTTCCATACTCTAGAGAGTGATTTTTCAACTCAGTAACTACAACTGGCTTCCCCCTAGGCTCCTATTACTCCATCCAAGAGAGCAGTCAACATTATCCTCCTGACCTATTGCAAACCATGTCACTCCTCATCTCTGTCTCTGCTGGCTCCCCATTGCTTACCATATCAGGTCTTTCCTTGCCTTGAAGGTATTGCACCAGTCTGCCCCAGGCTACAACTTGGATCCTGTTTCCTACCGCATCCCCCTTGCCCAGCCATGCAAGCTTCACAACTCCCTTCAGTTCCTTTTCCAATAGTCTCTTTTACACATGGAATGCCCTCCCAACCCCAGTGCACTAGACTACCACTCTCTCATCATCCATGTCCCTCCTAAAGACATACTTTTTCTGCTAGGCTCCAGACACTAACCCATGTCTGTCTAAAACCTCCAGGAGAGATATTTCACAAAACAAATAACCAAAAAACATACTAAACTGACCATAAGATCTTTGAGGCAGGGACTGCGTTATATTTGCGTTTAGTGCAACACAAAGCACAGTCTGCACACAGATAATAAATGCTAGTTAAATGGTAATGTAGTAGTATGCTGTGCATGGTACCCTAACCCCCCTTCACGAGGCATAAGTCACACATTTACACTGCAGGTGTATATGCCAGCAGGAAAAAGAACACTAAACCCCCCACCCCCCCCCCCGCCAAGTATTATGGGTGTTTACTCAGACTGTGCATGCAATCATGTACATAAAACAGCTATTTGAATCTGCCATTATTTCTAGAAACAGGCCTTCACATTTTGAATGTATAGATTGGAATTGACAGATTCAAATCTGCCCCTCCTTACAAATTTTAGTTCTAGGTTGGATTCAAAACTGGAATGGGTGCCCATTTCCAGTTTGGACACAACTACTCTTGAAAGATTTTGGCCCAGGATGACAGAAGTCATTAAAAACAGCTGGAATTGCAAGATTTCCAACATTCTAGAGGACAGAAGTCTCCAGCACTACAAGACTCAAAGCCTAAGCTCTTGTGCTCGAAAGAAAACTCACTGCAGTTTCAACCACCAGCACTTCAGCCAGTCTCATTTCCCAGGACAGCCAGACAACTAGGCACTGTATTTGCACACTCTGTCCAAATAGCACCAACAGCAAGAAGGGCAAACTGCCCTGAAGTCGTCTCGTCACTACTTGCCATTATAAGGAGGTCCACTTTCTATGCTTCCTCCGTGTCCTTTCGTATCACAGTAGGGAGGGGCCCAACCTGAGTCACAGTGACAGTTCTTGTTGTTATTGCACACCTTTAAATTAAAAAAAACAAAACAAAAAACCCACACATTACTGCCATTGCGACTGTAGCTCCACATAAGACTGATCCACCAACTGGCAGGGGGAGAAAGAGAAATGCTGCAAGGTGTTTTCAAAGTCTACAGCCCAACTCCTGAAACAGAACGTTCCAAAAGAAAGGGTACTTACCTTGCTGTTACTGGAGTTTTTTGAGATGCATGGTACCTATGTGTATTGCACAGTGAGGTCCACATGGGCTTCATGGGCCGGGGACTGGAAAAATTCTTGGTAGCAGTGTTCATTGGTCTGCACCTGCACCCTGTGCTGCTTTGTGCTTCAAACCAAGAGTGTAAGAGGAGGCACGAACCGACCACCACTCCAGTTCCTTCTCTAATGCAAATCGCTCTAGGAAAGGATCCGAAGCAGAGGGGAAGGATGGCAGGTAGTGAAATATCCACATGGACCATACATCAAAGAACTCCAGTTACAGTAATGTTAGTAACCTTTCTTCTTCACATGATGGTCTCTGTAGATATTCCACTGTAGGTGTCTCCCAAGCAATATTCAGTGAAGAGGACAGTGAAAGGAATGCACCATCAACTGCAGGACCATTATAATGAAGGAGGAGTCTGCAGAAGAGGCTTGTATCAAGGTGTAATGTCTAGTAAAGGTGTGAAGAGCCCCATACTGCCACTCTACAGATCTCCAGGAGTGGAGCACCCTGAAGAGAAGCCACGGAAGCAGCCAGGGCTCTGGTCAAGTGAGCCCTCAGGCTGTGAGGAGAAAGTCCCTGCAAGATCACTGGAAAGGCACATGCAACCAGAAATGGATTTGGAATGTCTGTGCGGATATTGCTTCTCCTTTTGTTTGCTCAGCAATGGAAACAAAGTCTCGGAGATTTCTGGAAATCTTTGCAGGTGGAAAGCTGAGGCTTGACGGAGATCCAGAGAATGGAGCTTACTGTCTTCTCTGGTGGCATGAGGTTCTGGGTAGAAGACAGGAAGCTGTATTTATGACTTGGTGAATGGGAAATTCAGAGGGAACCTTTGGAACGAACTTGGGGTGTAACCTCAAGGAGACCTTCCCCCGGTGGAACACCATAGAGGGAAAGCCCACCAGAAAGGCCCCAAGCTCATCCACTCTTCAGGCAGTGGTGATTACTGTCAGGAAGGCCACCACAGACAGGTGAAGAAAGAAACGGGCCAGTGGTTCACAGGGAGGATTCATGAGTGTTGACAAAACCAGGTTGAGGTCCCAAGCTGGCCTTGGTTTCTGTGCGGGGGATAGGTTCCAGTAAGGCCTTTCAGAAAGCTTACGATCATAGGGTGGGCAAAGATTGAATAGCTATCACTGGCTGATAGAACATGTTAAACACAGCCAAATGCACACACAGAACAGAGACAGGCCTGAGTCTTTGAGGGAAAGAAGGAATTCTGAGAGGACAGGGATGTCCAAATCCTCAGGTATGCAATGAAGTTGACACCACACAGAAAATCTCCTCCATTTAGCTCAGGGGTGGGCAAACTTTTTGGACCGAGGGCCACATCGGGGTTGTGCAACTGTATGGAGGGCCGGGTAGGGAAGGCTGTGCCTCCCCAAACAGCCTGGCCCCCCGCCCCCATCCGCCCCTCCCACTTCCCGCCCCCTGACTGCTCCCCTCAGAACCTCCAACCCATCCAATCCCCCCTGCTCCTTGTCCCCTGATTGCCCCCTCCCGGGACCCCCACCCCCTATCCAACCCCCCTGCTCCCTTGT